CAGTGATGGCGAACCTTTTGAGCTTGGCGTGTCAGCATTTTGAAAAACCCTAACTTAACTCTGGTGCCGTGTCACATATAGAAATTTTTTGATATTTGCAACCATAGTAAAACAAAGACTTATATTTTTGATATTTATTTTATATATTTAACTGCCATTTAACAATGAAAAATCAACCAAAAAAATGAGTTCGCGTGTCACCTCTGACACGCGTGTCATAGGTTCGCCATCACTGGCCTAGCACCTGGAACAGTGACTAGAACATAGCATTGGATAAGTAATGTTGAATAAACACTTTGTCTTTTATAGTTGTGGAAACTGAGCCTTAGAGAGGTGTTAAATAACTTGTCCAGAGCTTCTCAGCTAGTAAGTTTCAGGGCCAACTTTTCTAATTCTGCCTTTGACACTTGCAGAGTTCATGTTCTTTCCACTGTGTCATTCATGAGTAGAGGCAAAATCTAATCCTCAAACATGCTTCAAAATCATACTTCCTGGGTCTTTCCTGCTTTTGACACTGTGTCTTTCTGATTTCTTCTAGTGTGGTGCAGGTCCTGCTTGCTGCTGGTGCTGACCCAAACCTTGGAGACAATTTCAGCAGTGTTTACAAGACTGCCAAGGAGCAGGGAATCCATTCTTTGGAAGGTAAGGGCGAGCTACTCTGCTGTTCTGAGCACTCTCCTCCCTGTGGCTTCCAAGCAACCTTGCTCTGTGCCAGCTCTACCAGCAACTCAGAGAGGGGCTGCAAGTGCCTTATCCTCTGGAAACTCATGGAGAACCCAAAAATCTTGGAACAGATGGCTATCACAGCCCCTTTGGGCTCTATCATTTATGTCACTTAAGAAGTCTTGGGGAATAAATTAGAGGCCTAACTTCATGAATGAGTTGGGGTTGAGGGGAACCTTCCACTGCTGTTTTCCCAAAAGCACCTCAGCCTGTGGAACCTCAGATGAGAGGACAGTGGAGCAGTTTTCTATAAAATAATTAAGGCAACTGCATGGAATGTGGATTTGTTCCTCCTCTATTTCCTGTAAACTTTCCCTCTCCCAGAACTAGAAAGCAGCCTTACTTGTTTCCTCAGCCTCAGAAATCCTTCATTACTACTGTGAATACTGCTTTTTTTCCTTCTCCCGTATGTAAAATATAATCCCCCAAAGGGGAGTGGCCCCTCAACTTACTGTGTGACCCAGGACAAATAGTGGACCTTCTCTGTGCCTTGATGCCTATGCTTATAGAATGGGGTAGTCATCAGTGTCTGCCTGGAGTGTTGTGTAGGTGGTTGTTTGGACTTCTTCAGAAGAAAGCAGCAGTGTGCACCTGTACCAGGGCTTGGTCACGTGTCTATTGGAGGGTACCTGGGCAAGTCAGTCTGTGTTGTCTCTGGTGAGTAGTTCTTCCAAAGTGGGGTCGAGAAAATGGCAGGTTGCTTTGGCTGCAGTCAGAAATGAATATTTTACATTTGAGTTTTTGCTTGTCTAGACTGTCCCCCACTGCCTGCCCATTACCCTGGACCACTCGCAGAGGCTGAAACTCCTCTCAGTTTCTAGCAACAGGGCAGCTGAGCAAGTGGCTGCTTTAAGGTTGGCAGTGATGCCAGGAGGACAGGTATCCATGCTGACTGCCTAAGGATCAGAACATTGACCTGGAGGGAGGTTTCAGCCAAGGGGAGCAAGAGATGTCAGAGCTGATGTGGGTGTTCCTCAAATTGGCAGCATGAGGGGAATGTCAAGAGCATCAGAGCATTGCTGCCCAGATGAAGTGTGAAGTCGCCCTTCCCCACCTCTTCTCTTCTGTAATGCCACTACTTCTGTCAAACTCCATTCTGTAGCTAGTTCCGTCACAGAGCCTTTCCTGTCCTTGGAAATAATTGCAACCTGCTCTCAGCTGCTCTTTTGAATATTCTTTAAATCTTGGCCTTTTGTATGGTTTTTGAACTCTCATCTGCCCATGTATTTTCTTTCCTCCTCAGCTGACAGTTCCATGTGTAGACCGTGACCTATGCCTCTTTGGAATCCCCACTGAACTGGAGGAATTATCTTCACTTTATGTTTCAAGCAGAGGAGAATTTCATGAGTGCCAAACTTGCCCTACAGTTGCAGTTTGATATGAGGGGACTCCACTTATGGGCTGTCTTCTTCTCACTCAGACACAGCTTTGCTGCCTGCTTTAGCTCTGTCTTCTGTTCAGGTGCTCTTACCAAAAAGCAAGGAGGAGCATTTGCTGAGAGGGAGGGCCAGGAAGAAGGGAAGGGATTACTTGAGTGCCTTCTCACATGTTCTCAGGATCCCAGCAGAGCTCAGTAAGCATTTTTTATTTCATAGAATATCAGAGCTGTGAAGCCATCTATTCCAACTTCTGCTGTTGCATGATCTCCACCCTCTGTCTTCGTTTTGTACCTTTGTGCTTTATAGTTCTGTCCTGGTTGGTACTACAATCAATATTGTAGATCAGTGGTCAGCAAACTTTTTCTGCAAAAAGCCAGATAGTAAACATTTTAAGCTTTGTGAGCTCTTCATTGTGGTGCAGAAGCAGCCATAGACAATGCACAATTGAATTTGCATAGATATGTTCCAATAAAACTTTATTTACAAAAATAGGCAACAGGCTGGATTTGCCCCATAGGCTGTAGTATACCTGTTCTAGGTATTTTCTCCTTCCTTCCTCTTTTCCTCCATCCCCTTCTTCCCTCCTTTCCCTCTTTCTATTTGAATCAAAGACTAGCATATAAAATACATGATGGCAGGGATCCTGTTTAACTCAATAGTGCCTAGAACATTCCTTCCTTCCTTCCTCTCTCTTTTTTTTTTTGTCAAACTCCTTTACCTTTTCAGCTCTTATATGTTAGCCAGCCTACATTCTAGGTAGGTAGGTAGGTAGGTAGATAGATAGATAGATAGATAGACAGACAGACAACAAAAATATTGGGAAAGGCTATTATAACTATCATGAAATAAAGCTAAAAAAATTAAGTATCTTAGCTTATTTTGTATGACCTACAAAATTAGTGAATAGGCTTCCTTTAAAAAAATTTTTTTTAATCCTCACCCAAGGATATGTTTTTATTTATTTCATTGAGAGAGGGAGAGAGAGACACACATCGATTGGTTGCCTCCTGTACACTCCCTGACCATACGTGTCCTGACTGGGGATCAAACCCACATTCTAGGTATGTGACCTGACCGGTAATCAAACCCACAACGTTTTTGGTGGATGGGATGATGTTCCAATCAACTGAGCCACCTGGCCAGGGCCTAGTGAATAGGCTTTCTATGGACTTATTTATTCATTCAAAAATAGTTTAAATTTTTTAAAAAAATATGTTTTTATTGATTTTAAAGAAAGGAAGGGAGAGAAAGAGAGATATAGAAACATCTATCAGCTGCCTCCTGCATACTCCCCACCAGGGATCAAGCTCACAACCCGTGCATTTGCCCTGACGGAATGAACCAGTGACCACTTGGTGCGTGGATGACACTCAATCCACTGAAAATTTTTTATTAATTACATGTCTATCTAGCAGTCACTGTTTTAGGCACTTGAGTTAGGATCCCTGCCATCATGTACTTTACATGCTAGTCTTTGATTAAAAGGTTTATAAGGACTATATTCAAGTATAGAACCCTACAGCACTTGGTCAGGACAAATTTGAAGCATCATTTGACATTCACAACTATAAATCTTCCAAACTTTATTTTTTTCTAGCTTCATTTCTCTATCATGTCCACAAAATTTTAAAGAGATTTTCTCAGATTTCTTGCTAAAATAAAAATATGTTTGGCAATTGTCATATTTCTTGCCCAGGAACCCTTTCTCAGGAGGATGTTAGGTAATTCGGGCAATGTCTGGTCTCCTCCTTAGGGAACCCATACTGGTACTTAAGTGTTTAAGAACTGTTTTTAAAAAAAAATACACTCTAGAAATTTTGTCAGGAATCATTGATAAGCTCATTATTCTGTAGCTTACAAGATTGACCCCTCTGTGCACTTTTAAAAAAAATTCCAGACTACCCTTGCCTACCACAGTTTTCTGGCCGCTCAGCTGATTTTCCCTGGCATGTCAGTTTGGATGTGTTCTGCTATCCAAATTCATGGACTCTATGGAGTGATAGTCCTTTCAAATCATCTCAAGGCCTTTAGTTCCTTCTTAGCCATATTTTCCTCTCCTCTTTCCATTTATAGATATTTCATTCTTTCATCCATTTAACCAATATTTATTGGTTGCCTACTGTATGCAAGCACTATACCCAGCTTTTGGTCATTCTCTTTGATGAAATAGACAGAAACAAATGAATCCTCTTGTTCTCTTTTCTTCAGATGGGACTGACCTTTTCACAGGCAGTTACCTGACTTATGGGAATGTGGAAGAGGGTAGAGTAGAACAAGAGGTGCAAGCCCCTTGCCCAGAGTGTGTCTAGGCAAATTCACAGGAAGGTCACATGCTCAAGAAAGATGGACAGTCCTTCACTATTGGAGCATAGAGACAGTAACAGAGTCCATCAAATTTCTAAATGATATTTCTGTGGGCCTCAACCTGTGCTCAGTGCTAAAGGGAGGTGGTTAAGTTGTAATTTGTGACCTTGGCAAGACCTCCCTAAAACCCAATAATATATCCCTTGTCTATCATATCATATTGTGCAGATCAAGAGATAAATATGTGATGTGTGAATTGTAAAGTGTTCTACAGTTGTAATTGCTTATTAGTTTTATTTATTTGTAATCCAGCATGCATTTACTGAGTATCAGGCACTCTGCCAAATGCTGGGAATACAAAAATGAATTTACATGGTCTAGCCCCTCAGTAGTGCTCGCAGTCAAGTAAGACAGACTTATAAACAAGGCACCACAGTGCAGAGTGGTAAATGTAAAGGTAGATGTACACAGGATGTAGGTAGCGCTGATATAGGTAGAGATAAGTTCTACCTCACAGCAGGCTGGTGTCTGGGAAGTGTCACAGGGTAAGTGACTTTGAATTGGCCTTAAGGATGCGTCGGAAGTTGCCAGGCAGACTAAGAGGGATGAACCTGCCAGGCAGAAGGAGCAACATATGCAGAGACATGGGATGGGTGAGTGACAGCAGGTAGACTCCTGTCACATTGCTGAGAAGAATAGCAAGAAATAAGAGTGGAGAGGAAATTGGGGTTCCACATGGGAAGGATTTTGTAAGGCAGTTCTAAGAAGCTCATACTGTTTTCTGCCATCAAAGGATTTTAAGCAGGTTATGCTCAGTTTACATTTGCATTTTAGATGGGCCATCCTGACTAGATGGGTGATGAATTGGAGGAGAGAGATTAGCAGTGACTCTTGACCTTTATGGGATGATGAACCCCTTTGAGAATTGGATGAGATGCTAAGCTCCTCTCCCCCAAAATGCACCTATCATTTCTGGGGATTTCTAAAAGTGATCTTTGGGAATGGAAAAATAGATTTTAGAAAAATATTAGGAGGAGCTTGAGTTCTCGGTAGAATGTGGGAATTGATGGAAAAGGAAGCCTCCATGGTGACACCTCAACTTCTGATTTGGGTAAATAGTTGGATGTATGGATCTGGCAGAAGATAGGGATTTAGGAGTCACCGGCATTTGCTGGAGAGTTAAAACAATAGATGTGATTGAAACTGCCCAAGGAAAGAAGTCCGTCACTCAGGGGA